TGTCACATATCAATAATTTTTTTTTATTAGCAACAAAAGAAATTGCATATGAATCGAAACAATTACCAAGAATAGAATAGTTTACCCACATAGAAGAAATCAAGTTGCTGTGACAATTTCTAAATGACAGAGACAAAAAATGGGAAAATACTAGTTAAAAATCGTATCGAATATCTGTAACGTATGCACGCAATGAGAAAAGATTCCCGTAATTTTTGTCATAGACAAGACTTGATTTCTTATATCCGTTACTTTTGAATTGTTAACCTACCCCTAGGCAAGTGAGATGGTCACCTAGGCCCCCCACTAGCCTAGGATTCCCATTGCGTATATTGCATAAAATTATATTTATAAATTTTAACAAAATAAAAATTTAAGATGTTTAGTAAAAAAAATCAAAAGTATTTTAAAAATATTGTTCTTTAAATTATAAATATTTATCCATTCAAAAAGCAAAAAAAAAAAAAAGATCTTGTACAAAAAATTATAAGAAATGAATTTGTAATAAGTCTTGCCTATTTATTCAGTTTTATTTTCTTGAACTATAATTTTTGAGTTAAGTTGATTTTAATATTATCAGTTACATAATGTGTTTGTTTTGCAAGTTATTTTTCACTTTATATATATATATATACACACACACACACAAAGATATAAAATTAAGTATAAAAATTTTAAAAATAAAAATAAATAAATTATTCATCGAAAAAATTATTTAGGGCTCCATCTAAAATTTTTATCTAGGACCTCAAGTATTCGTGCGCCGCCCTTGGGTGGGTGCTTTTTTTCGTGCTATCCATATATTGTTGAAGTTTATAATAGTTAATTTTTATGGTAAAATGAGTCAAACCTGAAAAAAAATTCTTATAGCTTCAATAACAGAGAGTTTATCTTCATTATAACAAGGAGCATGTATGATGTGAATGCATAGACAAAGTAGCTTGTGAAGGATAAGGTATGGAGAGGAGAAGCTTATCCTCATTGTACTTTCATTTATGAAGTAGTCCTTTGTTTTGGAGTGAAGGTTCCACTAAGAAGTAGAAAGAAATAGGAGACCAGCCTCTTTACGACTCACCTTAACAAGAAAGAATCCAAAGGCTTATCCTTGATAGTTTTGGTATGAAATTTCACTACATTATGTTCTCATCACAGTTCTTGACATTGTTATTACCCCAAGTACCTCAGGACTCAAGTCATGCATATACATACACATTCACATTCACACCTACAAATCCAACGCGACACGAATCTAACACGTAATTAGCGGATTATAATTTATTGTTTTTTGACATGAATCCCAAAAATGACATGTCCTGCTAAAACAAATGGAAAGTTGACTATGATTAGTTTCAAACATGAATAACTGGAGCTTGACAAGATAAAACAATGTAACTAGTATTATAATCTAAGAGTGATCGATGGATTTTATTGAGAAATAAATAGAACTTAATCTCGAGTTTTGTTTTATAGATAACACGACAAGATTAATAAGTAAATAAGGTTGATGTCAGATCATCTGATACGATTAGATTATCTAATATGATCAATAAAAATAGTTGAGTTAAGGTTGATCAGTATTAAATACAAACTTAAATTGATACGACCCAAACACAAGGATATGAGTTGATTGTTATCTTATTATCATTGTACTAGATAGTCAATCCTGAACCAAACTCGTGTCTCACAGAGAGAGAGAGAGAGAGAGAGAGAGTACATCACGCAAGAATTGTACAGCATGAATGCAATTTTGCTTTTTGTAATCTTTAGTGTCGACAGTAGAAGGTTTTCTTCAGTAAAGGTTAAAGCCTTGTTAGCTAAGTTGCCAAAGTCATTTTGGTTTCCTCCGAACAGGTCATGTGCAAATGCACAATGGAGGTCCTTATAGAAGGGATAAAGCAAACTCATTAATATGCATCATTTATCATTTCACTTTTTGTTCTATCGCTTTCATATCATAGATAAATTGGATGCTTATGACTGTTACCTTCTTTTCCAATTCTTTTCTTACTTTTTGGACAATACTAATGGTGTTAATAATACAAAGGGGGGTAGTAATGTAGTGATAAGTGTGTTTTATTGTGATTTAGACGTTACATATTTGAGTCATAAAAAATAATCTCTTTGCATAAAGAAGTAAAACTGTATATATTTGACACTTCCTAATAATCAAGTTTAATTTGAACTTAACTTGAATTACTGCATTCAAATTCAACTCAAATCAAACATAAGTTGTGTGATTCGAAACTCAAACTTGAAATGAATCTAATTTTAACTTGAATTGAATTGAATTGCAGGTTAGGTTGTACAAAACGAAAATCTATCCCGAATGTCAACCTGAATTGTATTACTCGGATTCATAATTTTTCAAGATAAATAAAATTTGACTTGAATGGTTTGGGTTGAATTTAGGTTTAAGTTGAAACATTGGGTCTGGATTAATTTCTCAACCCACCCGAATTACACTCTGGTTGGGATTCTCAATTGGTGCTAGTAATTAGTAGGTCACAACCTTCTTATAATTTTGATAAACATTCGCTCCCCTTTGACACATGAAAAATTTCAGCCAAACAAATAACTCTCTGCAATTCAATAATTGTTATTACTTTTTGTTTTATTATTCATTGCACTACATGTTGATCACATTATTTATTACACGTGCGTGGATTGATAATTGAGCCGAGCTACTCATACGTGGTTCGGATAAGACTCGACTCGAATTTGGCTTGTGTTTTAAATGAGTCTAGGTCGAACAATTTTTCAGATTCGTTTAAAAAACGAGTCTAAAAAAGACACGGCTCGAACTCACATATATCGGTTCGTATATATGTAAAATAGTTGAGTTACTCGGTTTCGACTCGTTTTGGATTTAGTTTATTTTCTAAACGAGCTGATCTTGAATAATTTTTTAAACTCGTTTAAAAAAACGAGCTCGTAAAACTCGACTCGATTATCAACCCCGAATACTAGACAACTTATTAGGGGTAAGATTTTCCCTCCTCAATTTCGTTCAACTTTATAAAAATGAAACTAAGATTACTTGTAGTCTTGCATTGTTCCAAATTATACCACAGCATCCCAAATCACAAATTTTGGAGGCTAATTTTGGGTATATAGCTTTTGATCATAAAATCAGTGTTTATACACTTCAGCCCCCAAGAAATGCACAAAAAACACCGACTGGCTGAGATGCCCACCAAACTTTAAAGAAGCAAAGCAAAGTGAAAAGGGTAAAAGAGTAGAGCGGAGCCAAACCCATCCCATCTTCCAAGGCCCAATCCTCTACTGCACTTGGACTCTGTGCAGGTAAAAAGCCCAAGATCCAAACAAATTATTGAAATATCATTTGTAAATACGCCAATCAATGGATTATTATGAATCGGATTGCCTTTAAGTGTGTGTGTGTGTGAATTATAAGGACCTATAGTAAAAAAAAAAAAAAGGATTATTACGAGGGAAAAACCGATAATCAATTGGATTAATATTTTTTTTATCAATAATTCGAATCCAAATTTGAATCTGACATCTTATATTTCACGGATTTGAATTTGGATATACATATATTTGATTTGATTATGATCTAATTCAAATTATTTTTATATAAATATTACAGAAACTTAGTTAATTACGTTATTCAAATCGAATCAAATTTCACATTGTTAATGAATTCGAATATAAATTATAAAAATAAAATCCGTCAGATTATCAAATTAAATTTGGATTGAACTTTTAAAATCGAATTCATATCAGACAAGATTCAATTCGTTGACAGACTTAATTGTAAAGTACATATAAGTAATTTAGTTAGTTTTGGGTATGAAATGACTCTATTCCACAAAATATTTGTTTGAAGTCTAATGATATAATAAATCTACTAAATAATCGTCAGAATTATATTCAAAAAGTAGAATTGTAAATTTAAACTTTAAGGGTAGTTCAAGTGGTAATAACAATAAGTTGTAAACTCAGACATCTTAATTTTAAATCTTGATAATTTTTTGGGGTCAGACCATGAGAGAATTATCTCTTATGAATATCATAGTCCCCGTGTGGATGACTTGTATTTGATTGAATAGAGAACAAAATAAGTCAATGTGTATATAAACTAATCTGAATAATTGAATAAAATTTTTTTTATAAATTTAAGTATTCTGAATTCGATTCTTATCGGTGTCTCCAAGCTTCATAGCTGAGTGGATAAATGAAATATCAGGCTTTTACCTACAAGGATGAGTCTGATGTGACTCTGCTTTCAATTGCATCATTGTAATTATTAAATTAAAAAAAAAAATTCTAGTTCCCATTAAAAGAAACAACCGACTACACGAGATTTTCATCAATATTAGGTCTTCAAATGCACCATAATCCGAAGAGATAATTAAAGTCTGTTTTTGAATTAAAGTCTGATGTGCATCCCTAAACGAATGTATTAAATGCCCGATTAAAACACTTCAAGATTATTGCCGTTGGATTCAAGCAATGAAAAAATTGGGCTAATTACACTTTAAACCCTAAATTATGATGTGTGTCATATTAACACCGCAACTAACATGTTTAGCACATTGCATCTTTAACCATTGTTATTACTTTCACTTTGCCCAAACGGTGAACGTTCGTTGTAATTTTGACTGAATTTTGTTTTATTTTGCCTTTTAAACTATGTTATTTTATATTCACTTTGCTCCGACACGTTCATTTGTTTCGTCAAAAAGATGGCAAATGTTAGTGTTTTGGGCAAAGTTAAATTAGTCAAGTAGTTGAAGGGAGAATATAAATAAAATAATAATTGAGGGCGTTAAAATGACATATAAATGTCATAATTTGATGGTGGACCTTGTAATTAACCCTAAAGAATTCCGGTCGCGATCCAGTCGTGCAGGACAAGAAGAAACGGTATATAAGAAGATTTAACAACGGCGAATAAGTTCTTCATTCTCTCTCTCTCTCTCTCTCTCTCTCTGTGCTATATCAGAGGCAGGGCTGGGGTTCCTCCGGAGAATACGATGACGATCTCTTCAATGGCGTCGACGCTCAAAGCCTACTCAATCCCTCTCATTCTTTTCACTGCTGCCATCGTCTTTCAACTCTGTGTCATTCCACGCTCGTTCCCTCCTTCCCACTACGATGGTCCGTCGCAACGCCAAATTTTGTCTTCGATTATGTTTTCTTTTGGTAGTCGGATTACTTTATTATGATCTTTTATTATTATTGTGATCACAGTTTTGGGGATCAAGAGGTATAGCTCCATTGAAGAAGTCACTCTGGCTTACGAGAAGCTCTCATCCAAGTGGTAATATTTTTTTTTTCTCGCTTTAATATGCTTTAATTTTAAAACTGCTCTTCTAGTGTGACAATTTCGATTATGCCACTGTACGGATGGGTATATGTATTTGGGGGTTTTTTTTGGTCTTCGTTTTTGTAATGTGAAAGCACATCTTGGTGGCTTTGGCATAGTTATTTTTTTCAGCTTAGTAGTCTTGATTATATGATTGAATTGACGATACCCCAAAATTACAGGGAGTTTGAGTAGAAAGGTTGGGTCTTGTGGTTGTACAAAAAGGAATGCTTATGGATTACTTTAGTATGAGAAGCCTTGGTTTGATGTATTTGAGTAAAGTCGTCTTGAGGACTCCATTTGGAGCTATAAATATCGTTCTTACAAAAGGTTAATTGACTGGTCAACTTCAATGCCTCATAGGTTCTGATAACTGCTGTCAAACTGTTGCTTGAACTGTAGAACTAAAAATCTATAGTACCCCATTTTGTCCATTGTTTTGATGAGGAAAAAAGGAAAAGGAAAAAGATAAAGAAAAAATAAAGGAAAGGCAAACACCATTGTATTTTCACTTCTAGTATAAAACTATCTTTACAATTTTTTTTCTAATTTTATTGGGAAGCAAGAAAAAGTAAAACAAAATAACCAAACTAACGTTATAGAAAAGTTTAAATTTGCATATTAGTATGTTTTCTATATTTTCTTTCTTTCTTTCCTTCTCTCTCTCTCTTTCTCTTTTTTTTTTCTTGTTATTTTCTAGTATGGTTATATCACTATGTCCTTACTTATATTTTGTCAAGGAAAGGCAAACTCCATTGTATTTTCGCATCTAGTATATAAAACTATCTTCACAATTTTTCTAATTTTATTGGGAAGCATGAAAAAGTAAAACGAAATAACCAAACTAACATTATAGAAAAGCTTAAATTTGCATATTAGTATGTTTTCTATATTTTCTTTCTTTATTTCCTTCTCTCTTTCTCTCTCTCTTTTTTTCTTGTTATTTTCTAGTATGGTTATATCACTATGTCCTTACATAAATTTTGTCATGAATCGGTCACATTAACTTATATGTTTGGAGTCGAGGTAGATGTCTTTTAAGACATTAGTATCATATGTAGTCAACAGAATATGTTTATTGTTCTTTTAACTGTTTGTTGATATACCATTAATCCTTTAAACTGACAGAGTCATTATTTCAGGAATTCAGGCTTTGAAGTTCCGTCTACCTTTGATTTTGTCAAGGTATAAGTGTTTATCTGTGCAAGTTAATTGGTTGTTTAGTGGTAGTTCACACTTTATGTTATCCAATTCCCATACACGTATATGTTTCCACGGGCTTAAGTGACTGGGCCATTGGGTGGTTAAAAGTTAATAAATTACATTGGTGCTCTCATATAGGTTGCTTAGCATAGATGGACAAAACAACATTTCCTATAATGACATAAAAGTACATAACTAGGATGCGAGAGGTTGTAAAGGAACAACATTGCCTTCTTGATTTTATTGAGGTTCATCTTATCATCTGTAACTATTCTTTTACTGTTATAGTTACTTTAATAATGTGTCCTCCGTTGCAGATTCGATACGCTTTTGAGCTGCTGAGTAATCAAGCATGGAAGAGAGATTATGACATATTTGGCATTGATGAACAAGTTGTGAGTTGTTAGCTCTTGGCCTGTCATTGTAGAGCGAGCTCTACTACTTTGCTTTACCCCATATCTTTTCAGCCATGCTTTTATTATTTGACATATTTGCTGTTCCATAAGATGTTTCTGTTTTATGCTTGAAGCATGTTATTGAAGAGGGCAAGGAGCAATATGCTGCAGCAAACATTTATGAAATTGACCTTCCCTTGCTGGAAGCTGCTTCCTTTGGTTGGTTAATACATCCCCCTATTAGACCAACTTTTTTCTAATAAAGAAGTTCATTTGAATGTATGTACCCCATAGTTGTTATGGAAAATACAATTTTAATATGTTTGACACAATTCTTGCTCCCTTTGGCTCTCTCAGATCCTATAGATCATGATTTTGATCTCATTAAATCTGAGAATTTTTTATCCAAGTTTGAGAATGACAAGGCATTGCTAGTTCAGGTACGATTAGTTTCTAGAATATGCTGCCATATCTTTGCTATTGTTACAATTAACTATCCCTGACTTTTTGGGCATTCTTAATTTCCTCTACTTAAAGTTTTCGTAACCAATGGAAAATATTAATTTTTACAAGAATTTGTAAAATCCTTATATTTTAGGAATATAGTATTTTTCATTATTTTTATTTCTTGTCCATATTTGTTATAATCTAGAATTATATTGAAGATATGTCAATCTATTGAATGAGTACCAAGGTGTAATATTGTTTGAAAAATGTTGAAATTTACATTCAGTTCTTGGAAATGCTTAGAAACCAAACTAGCAAGTTAGAGTTAGTATCGGGAATCATATGCATATAGAACAAGTATTTATGGGTGGAATTGGCAGAGGAAATAAGTGGCATTTATGACATGGAACTGCTACCTATTGAAATAAAAAAACTGTCATCGGAAAATCTATAGATCCAACATGAAGAAGGATTTCTTGAATTGGGTCTTAGAATATATTTATTTGCCTATAGCTTTTGGGTTCTTATTCTCATTTCAAGTATTTTAGTAGAGATTGTAGGATGCAGCTATGGCTATGGAGTGAAAAGGGTGATTGAGTAGAAGAGTGTAGTGAAGATTCTAGAAAAGTTAGTGTTTTGTTTTCATTTGAGTTATGACACTAACACTAATACGTTGACAAAAGTGGTAGAGAATGGGAATGTCGTATAGGAATAATTGGTTTTTTGTGTTATCTTAGTGTTGGGAGCAAGGTTTCAAAAAAGTGCTGATAAGTTATCTAATTCCTGTTACGTAATGGGAATGAAGGGCACCAATCCCATTGAGGTCAGATATAACGGTGAGAATGTAAATCACACCTATAAAGACTGTTTACCGGGCTATCACAGAATGAGTCGAAGAACACCTGCTCTGTTTTCTACCAATTTCCTACAAAATCGTAGCAATTCTAATTAATGGCAACAATTGCAAACCTTTTCCGAGAGAAATATGCCACACTTGAGATGGAAAACAAAGATGTGTGTGACCATCTGATTTTGGATAGACACATCAACCATATCTGGTAGAAAAGCGTAAACAACATTGATTTGGATTCCCCTAAACTTGCTGTTGCAGAGACAAATGATTTTCTTCCACTGTCCCATTCTAGAGCATCTGCACCCCTTCACCCAAACATCTCTTTCTATAGCCATATGAATACACACCTCTAAAGCTACAGAGGAATCATATTGTTATTTTCATCGACCAGCGTAACAAAAAGGGTATATCTGAACTTCAACCTTAGTAATAGCTCAGTTTGGTTAGAGTTCTCATGGGTGGATTGCAGGTGGATCAATTCTACCAAAGGAAGCTTCCCCGAAGCTGCTAACTAAGTGGCTGCAGAGAATGATTTCATGCTTTAGCTGTGGTGTTGTTTTTTAGGGTATTCATTGTGGTCACACGCTGACAGAATAAGCTGCTATATATTTGTACATATAATGGATAATTATTTGAAACATGAATTATATTTGTTTAACACCATGTGTGTAAAATATGATTCACTACAAATCACTAAACATATATTTTATTGTTTTAGACTTATGACATACATTTATACATAATTTTTGTGAGAGGTTATTAGTCTTAAAAAATTCAAGCCTTCACTTTCTGTTAATGTTACATAATGCATGTTATGTCTCAATTCTATTGTACTGTTAACAGCCATTTGCTGTTGTTTGTTACTCAATGGGATTATTGATACAGAGTACAAAAATGCCTTTGTCCTACATGTAGGATGAAGGAGAAAGAAATAAGAGAATAGAAAGAGAAGAAGAAAGAAGACGGGGTAGAAGAGATTTACCTCATCCTCGTAAGGAATCCGTAATCTCCACAGAGAATAATCAATTCTTATTCATAATCTTTCTTCCATGAAATAGTAGGGGTTACATCAATATTTATAGACTAAGACTCCTACTAAAATAAAACTTATTCTCCTACTAAAATTTTAAAAGAGTTTTATAATCAAACTATTAAACTCCTATACTACTAAAACAATATAATAATTTCCTAGTCAAACTCTAATTAATTCTCTTAGTCAAACAAATATTTCCTCGCTAAAATAATAATATTAAAACAAATAATAAACTTCAATTCTTCAATTTAAGCTTATCCAATCCCTTTTTATCTCTATTAATTCTCTCCGGCTAAAAAAAACTCTTATTCCGAAGAGTTGTAAGGGACGAAGGACTCGAAGTGATTTGGAGAAGCCTGCAATTTAAGAAAATAGTATTGTAGATCTCCATAGCAGAAAACAATCCCTTGATATGTTGCATCTTTTACAGTCTTGTCTACATACATTATTATAGGTGAAGGAAACACATAAACCATTAGAGACAAAGTAACAACACCATCAATAGTGACATCCTTTGAAATTCCTTTAACTCATTGTGTAAGAAGATCTTTGAAAATCGGCTTATTAAAAGCAATTGATGTATGATGAGGAGAACTTTTAGGCTTATCAACGATATCTAATTTCAGCTTATCATTCAATTAAACTAGAGCTTGCGATTGTAGAGGAACTTCGTGGGGCATAGGTTGTTCGATTATTTGTTGACAATCGATGGGTGAAGCAGATGAATAAAAATCTACCTTGTTCACAAGGTTCTTATTTAGGAGCTTAACTTCAAACAAAGCAGCCAATTTGTGTACTCCTTCATGTATATATTCCATTGATGTGTGGAGCGAACCTATTGATGCTTGTAATGAATTGAGCTTAGCATTACGGGCTTCAAGTTTGACAAGTAATTCATCATTGCTAACCATCTTGATTGAAGAAGTGACTTGAAAAATTGTAGAAAATTTTAGAGTCAAACTGTAATTTTTAAAAATTTTGGGGTTGATTTGAAATTGTTTGAAATTTTTTTTGTCAAACTGTAATTTCAGAAACTCTTGGAACCATAGTTGTTAGTATCATACGATACGGGATACGTATTGTACGATATGTTACTATTTGGAAGTAAAACGATACGGATCGTAGTTATGTATCGTTCGATACATGATACGTTTTTATGATATGACCGATACGCACAAAACCTTTTTTTTTTTTGTTGATGCGACGTCATTTTGTCTAAATAAGACACTAATTTTTTTATTGTCGCCACTGATGAAAGGACATCGTTTTGTCTAAATAAGACACTAATTTTTTTTTTTTGTATAAAAATTTATGAATCTTAATTAATTTTATGGATTGATTTCAAAATGGATGTTAGAAATTTGGATTAAAAGTCTCCTTGGTGTTTGAAGTTTGAATTATTGACCTATGGTTTTAAACTTTGCATTATAATATTAGTGAACTATATTGATGACTTGAATAGGTGGTGGAGTATTAATGAAATGTTATATTTTTACGAGTGTATGATTTTTTTTCAAAGATATATTTTTTTTTATTGTTTATTTAAAATTGCACCGTATCTTATGATACATGATACGATACACTATTTTTAAAAAACGATACGCCTTCTGATACACGATTTGATAACTATGCTTGGAACCAAACTGTAATTTCTGAACTTTGAGGTCAAAAGTGTAATTTTAGAAACTTTAGGGATCAAATATATAATTTTAGAAAATTTTTGGGGGTATTTGTGTAATTTTAAAGATTGGGTCAGACTGTGAAATTTTTGACAGGGTCAGCCGGATGGGTTACTGGGGTGGAGCTGGAATTTTTTTTTGGGTTGGTTAATGTAGGGCCAATAATATAGGCTTTGTTTTTTTTGTTGGATTGGGATTGGGGCTAAGATCTGTTTAGGGAAAACAAATTAGGTAAAAGGTTATTGGGTCAAGAGGCTGATTAGGAAAAAGAAATAAGGTAAATGGAGATTAAGGTCAAGGATATACCCAAACTTCAATACGTAGCAAGGTATTTAAGTTTGCTTCATGAGTAGCTCTCCAACAGGAATTGTAACAATAAGCAATGAAGAAGAATATGATTGGTCGTGACCAGAATGGTGAGAAACAATGGATCAAAGTTTCGCTCTAATACCAACCTGCTGTAGGACGAAGGAGGAAGAAATAAAAAAATAGAAAGAGAAGAAGAAAGAAGAAAGGACGAAAGAGATTTACTTCATCCTTGCGAGGAATCGATCAAGAAACACACAAATCTCCTCGGAGAATAATCAATTCTTATTTATAATATCTCTACCATGAAATAATAGGGGTTGCATCAATATTTATCGACCAAATTTCTTACTAAAATAAAACTTATTCTCCTACTAAAATTCTAAAAGAGTTTCATAATCAAACTATTAAACTTATATACTAATAAAACTGTATAATAATTTCCTAGTCAAGCTCTAATTAATTCTTTTAGTCAAACAAATATTTTCTCATTAATATAATAATACTAAAACAAATAATAAAATTTAATTTAAGTTCATCCAATCCTTTTTTGATCTCTATCATCTACTTACTAAGCTGTGATTATAATGCAAATTATAGGCAACACCAACTTTAACCAAATAACCAAATACAATCCACCAGCAAGAGAACTGTTTATCCAAAAACCTCAGCCCATTCTAAAAGCATCAAATAAGTATAATAATCTTCAAAGCACATTGTCAATGACTAATGACACTGGCTGAAATAATATGCACAATATAGAGAATTAATAACTTGGCAAGTTCCCATATATTCAATGATTATTCAATTGGACAGGGAATTTTTTTTTCTATACACGACTTCAAATTTTCAATTTCGCCTAGATGAAATTAACCGTTCATAGAAACCTAAGTGCGAAAGGGAAAAGAAAATAAAGGGAAAAATGTAAAATTTTCAAATAGACCAATTTAAACAGGAATTTGAGGTTAATTTTATAATTGAATGCAGATTGCATTTCTAACCCAAAACTTGCAAATCACCCTAGACCCAGACGTGATTTAGTGGCAGAGCAGGTACTTGAACTGTAAAACATTCCGCAACATCAGAATAGCATGGAAAGTATGCTTCAAAAGTGGTTTATGGCAAAAATAACAAAATCCCAAACATTTAACAAAATTGAAATTGTCATTACTTTTCATATCATAGAATCCAAGCTGAAATGATGTTGAAATGGCATGAAAACAGTTTGGAGTTTGTAGCGTGAAAGTAACTGTAATGCATTTGAGTGTCTTGATCATTGCGAGATCGACAAAAAGAGGAGGTGAGGGTGATGGGCAACAGATTCAAAAAAATGCAAGGTGGTGGGGTATGGGCCTTCCACATAGAAATATTTGGTTATGCAAACCCTGATGCCAACTTCCCCCTAGATGAAAATTGTGAGCCGTAGGCAAAAGTTAGATAACATTTCACTTGGTGAAAATGTGCTCAAGAATCAAGGAAATGAAGAAGGACTTTACTTTCAAAAATAAAATGAATTGGATCAAGTCCTTAAATCAACACAACAAAGTTTTTACTTGTGGATATATGATTGTTCTTTTTTTCTTGTTTGCCTTTTTGGGGATGCAAAATGGTATATATTTGTTCATTTGTAGCTTTCAATGAAATGAAAGATTTTTTTCCTATTTAAAAAAAAAGGTATATATTTGTTCGCACTATTCAAAAACTTCTCACAATGGCTGGATTGAATAGAAATGAAACATGGTGAAGGTAGAATAAGTTTGCGTATTACTTTAGACATGTATTTAGTAGCAAACAAACTAAATATAAAGCATTTGGCACAACTATTATGATTATATTGATGCATTCATGTATGCACATGTTTATGACAAAAATATAATATTATTAGAATCAGTCAACTGTAGCGAAATAAGATTTAGGAAGTAGGAAGTGGTACCACCAATGTTAATAACATAACAAAGTGGACAAATTTAAGCATACATGCAGTATCTCGGGTAAGGATTTTGGATTTTCAAGAAGAACAACTGGTACTATAGGAAAGCTCAATAGAACAACTGCAAATGGTACTATAAGAATTTTCAAAAAAAGAGAGATCTGGTCAAAGATTTTCCCCAGTTACTCTATAAGTATGTTTGTGTTGTGACCGTATGATAATATTGACATGTCTCCTTGTCTTGATATTTGAAGTCAATTATGTCAATGTGTGTTTGAAACTCATCACTTGCATTGTTGCCTTCCATTAATAGATAATATTTGCCAAATGAAGTCTACTAATTGTATTTGCTCCATTTGTGTTGTATTGCTCAAAACTGTACCTCCCATCTAATACTGGTCCAAAACTCTGAATGTGTCTCCCAGTTGCATTTATTTTGTGGAGCAGCTGTAGTTTATTCCTAATAGACACTTATTATTGTTGTTATCGTGCTTCTTCTCATTGTGTGGTTTTGTTACTTTGGTAGGCATTTGTTTATGTGCTCATATTAATTTGATTCAGGTATTTTCACTTGGGAGTAACCGCTGTGCAAAATTTTATAACTACTGGAAAAGAATTGGTATGTATTTAATCTTACAACAGGACAACTATAATATATTTTCAATCCTGCCAGTTCAATATTAAGTGATGTATTAAAAGGAGCATGATACTCTGTGGCTTGGTTATTAAAGGCAAGTATGGTTTGCAGGCAAATGGTTGGGATGCTAATGGAGTTGGTAGGGGAAATTATCGAAATCCTTGGAAATTAATTTCTCAAGGTCTATCTTGCTTCTACCATAAGGTTAAGCACATTGTGGGTAATGGCCATGAGATGAGTGTTCGCTTTTGGGAGGATATTTGGGTAGGGATATGTCATTTTCAAGATTATTTCCTCGGTTATTTCGTCTTTCTTGTTATCATGGTCATAATACTGCCTCTTTGATAAGTTGTCTCATTCCACACCAATTTCTTGGGATTTTGGGTTTCGTTGAAACTTGAATGGTAGGGCGTCATTGGAGTTTGTGTCGCTTCTTTCTTTGATTAGTTCGTTCACTTTGAACCATGATGTTTTGGATAGAAGATATTGGGTCATCAATTCTTCAGGGTTATTGTCAAATAAGTCCTTATTGATTCGTTGATTGATGATTCCTTAATTCATTCTTTCATTCCTTCATTGAAAATTTGGATGGCTAAGATGCCATTGAAAGTGCAAGTATGTGCATGGGTAATTGCTCGTGGTAAGCTTAATACTTGTGATATGTTACAAAGGAGGAGGCTTTCTATTTGTTTGTCCCCATATTGGTGTCTTATGTGTAGAAAGAATAGTGACAATATGGATCACTTTTTCCTTCATTGTCCGATTGCATGCTCAATGTGGAATAAATTATTTGAAATGGCAAGGCTTAGTCAGGTTACAGGTAGTAATAAACTATTTGAGATGGCAGGGCTTTGTTGGTTGGCTCTGAGATCTAATTCATCAATGTTTGGTGTGGATTTTAAAGGGTTAGGAGGAGGGAAAGGTGAGACTCTATGACATTGTGCTTTATTTGCTATTGTTTGAGTTTTATGGATGGAAATAAATGCGAGAATTTTTTAAGAGAGAATGGAAGTGATGAGGAAGAATTATGGGAAAGAGCCTATTTTTTAGCTTTTTTTGGGCCTCGGTGACAGAAGAGTTTGATGTCCCTTTATATTGCATTATTTCCAACCGGACAACATCATGCCATTGATTGATGCGGTTGGTGGTTTCTTTTTCATTTTGTTTTTGGCTAGTGTGGTTTCATTTTCTCAGTTTGGACTCCTTGTCCAACTTTATGTTTGATGATTATAATGTTTATTTCATTTATTAATAAAATGTTTGTTTCTTATCAATATTTTTTCCCCCTTTTTAGTTAATTTGTTGGATGGAGTTGCAAATGCGGGAATGGTTGAACTTGATGATGTTCATCTTGCAGCACACCTTGTCGAGAAGAAATCTACAGGACAACCTTTCTTTCGGAATGGTAAGTACTTCCTATGCAGATCATTGCATTGTGCTCCTAAATCTTGTAAATTTTTTTTTTTGGGCAAAAAGCCCATACAGAGTGGGTATAGCTAAGGGTATAATGCCCCAAAATTTATAATGGATACATTAACTATCTATCAACCATCAAACCATTGATAGCATGCTAACTTATCATTTTATAACTAGATAAATCCCCAAATAAAACATAAATAAATCCTTAAGGTTATATACAAACTAAAATAAATATCCCTCAATGACTGATTAAAGAACATCCATGACATCAAATAATCTTAAAAGTTCTGGAACTATAAATTAAAGAACAATTCTTTAAGCTTCCAATTCTGGATCCATCTCATGATTTGCTCTGACATCCCAATCTACCTACTTAACTAACTTTGTATTGTCCTCAATGCCAAAATCTGAATATTTATATAGTCGGATGGGCAATAAACTTAGTGGGAAAACCCTCTAAAACCCAAACAAGGTTTTGAAATAATAAAACAGGCGAGTCTCAGTATGTAGAATAAATATATAAGAATTTGAAACCAAACAATTCCACTACGGGTGATAGGGAACTTTCAAACCCCTCAAGGTAAGAAACGCATCTAAGCACCCTACGATATAAGTTCGAATGTAACCCACGTTCATCATACCTACACATACAAGAGATACTTTTCACTCTTTTTCATAAAGCCCATGCATAATTACGAATCATAGTCCCATATTTGTTCAAACAGAATAATTTCAAGAAAACATACAAGAGATTTCTAAGAAACATATTTACATTGATCATAACCAAGAACTAGGGCCTTTCAATCAAGAACGGAAAAATTTCAGAAATAAATCATGTATTTTATTCAAAAACGAGTGGACTTAAATGAACATAAAAATATTAATAATTTACATCATAAATTCATAATAAGGATGAAAAATATATATTATATAGTACTAATCATCAATGAATGAATTTGAGAAAAAATCTATATGTTAATTTACGAATAGATGATCCTAATACGTTTTGATGCGATCCTACGTGTTAATCTATCAAAATCTTGCTTGTTTTTCGTTGTCCCAATCTCCTTAGCCTTCTAGGGGTTGAAATAGAGGTGAAGGAAAACAGTCCAGGCGATGCATATCTGATCTGCGGAATCACGCCAGCATTCAAACGAGTAACTTGGAGTGTGAATGGTGTGTAGGGCGTTCAAAATGAGTATTTGTCGTTTGAATGAGATTTGCTCCCAGTATCTTTTGTTTTTTACTGAAAAAATCATCAAAACATTCAAACAGATCCATTCGCATTTGAACGGGCAGCTTTTTGTGCCTGAACTTCCTAGGCAATTTTGGCCTAGTAAAAAGTCGATTTACAAAAGTTTTGTGAAACACATTTTTGTAGCCTTGAAGTCTAGTTTCTATTGTCAAAAAATCAGATCAATCGAACATTAAGATAAGAAATTATGTCTAAAATACTAAGATAGTGTCTAATTCTGTTCTACCCAAATTCTTCCCAAAATGCGTTTTAACTTCGGAATACTTCTGAACTTCTAATACATTCCATATTACTTATTCCAAAGTTTCTTGACCTTTCGGATTTAATGATAGCCTTATTTTAACCTAAAAAATATTTAGAAACTTACTGAGTTACCCTTCTCAAGGTTAAACACCTCTAAAACTAAAGATGACCCGAAAGTCAATAAACGCGAAACTCAAACTACATGATCAATCTTTCAGCATTACTTCAAAATTTTTAACATAACTTTATTCATCTCAGGAGAACTCTTAAGATGATATTATCTTTTTTAGTTATGGTACGTGGTCATACAATCCACACCCTAAAAAAAAGTTTCGTTATCGAAACTAAATCGTTGACTTAGTATCTGATTCCAATTGGTCATAATGTCTCAACGGCTATTCATCCTTTAAATTTCAAACTTAAGATCAGAATAGATTTTACAAATTTTAAATTTTAAATCCATCCCTTAAATTTGTATGATCATTGCAGTTATTAACGGTCCCCAAGATTACCTTTATTCAGTTTTTTTTTGGGGAAAAATTCCCACCATTTTATTTCATTTATGGAAAATCATGTGCAACAAGATATAATTCTGTACATCCACAGAATTTACAAAGCCTACTAATGAAATCAAAATACATCAAAAGAATTCAATCAAACAAAAATTGTCTTCTTCCTCACCACTCTCTAATCCCTTGTTGATCATGTAGAAGCACGAGTTTCGCTTGAAGGGGAACAGCCACAGTATGAGAAATATCTGTTGAAGCTCTATCCTGCACTGCCTTGCTTGCAAAATAATCAGCTACAGCATTTACCTCTTTATAGACATGAGAAAGACTGAAATCCATCCTATCCAGGACCTGCTGAATCTGCCTAAGCAGTCCCCAAAACTTCCAAGATCTTTCGTGACCTTTCAATATCACCTGCACCATCATTGCAGAATCTGTCTCTATATGCAATTTAAAGACTGCTAAACCATACCTTTCCACCAAGCACAGCCCCCCCAAGAGAGCTCTAAGTTCTGCCTCCATATTGGAACATTCTCCAAAAAAGAAAGATGCAAGCACCATTTACCCTCCCTGGTTTCGCAGAACTGCACCATCCTCTGCCAATCCAGGGTTCCCCTTTGAAGCTCCATCAACATTTAACTTCAAAATACCCTCCAAAGGACAGTACCACTGAACCCAAATGGCTTTGATCTGAACCTTGCAGCAATACACCACCCTAAAAGCATGCAGCAGCTCCTTCCCCTTTTCACCTTGAGCAACTCTAGCTTTAATCCCAGCCACCTGCAACCTCATTATAGAACAAATCCTCAAAAACACAGAAAACACAGACAAATACCCTTCACCAAATATTCTTCTACACCTCTCCCTCCATAATTGCCAAAACACAACCAAAGGCAAACCTCTAATCAGAGTATGACTAACAGACTGTTTTTTGAAATCCCTCACAATCATCATGAATCTTACCATTGAAGATTCACTAGAAAACAGCTGAAAACCACAAACACCTGCCAACTTCTCCCAAACAGCATTTGAAAATTCACACTGCACAAACAAGTGCACACCAGTCTGTTCTGCATAAAGACAAAGAGGACACCTACTAACCATATTAACCCTCACCCTCTGAACTCTAGAATCTAAAGGAATAGCATCCTTCAGAATTTTCCACCCCATAAGCTGAGCACTAGGAGGCACACACTGCTTCCTCACTGCAACAGCAACCTCAGACACCTCAGAAGATGTTCTAGCAATTTGCCAAGCAGTTTTAACAGAGAAAACTCCTGAATCTGTCCTCTGCCAAACTAACTTATCAGGCTCTTCAGTCAAACAAATACCAGACTGAACAATCTCCTCCTGCAACTGAGCTGACAACAAATTCTCAAAATCTTGTAACTGCCAAACAGATCCCAAACATACTTCAGCAACTGAAGGAAAAGAAACAGGAGTTTCAATTACCCTACTTAACAAAGAACCAGTACCAAGCAATTTGAACACCAAAAATCAACATCCGCTCCATTACCAACAATACTTTTACTATGATTGATCAGTACAAAATCAAGGTTGTAAAGATCTAAAAATTTTAGCTTTTCCCGTACAACCATGCCTCAAAAGATGCTGATTCTTAAGGAACTTAGCAGAAAAGACCTTGGCCCAAAGAGCAGAACCCTGCAAAATTCCCCATACCTGCTTCATTCTAAATGCAGCTTGCATATCCTCAAATTTTCTCACCCCAGACCTCCCTCTTGCTTGGGCCTAGTAATAACCTCCGAAGACACCTACTGTCTTTTCTTTACCCCTGGTTTGCTTGACCAAGTAAAAGATGTCATCAAAGCATTTAGCTTAGCAATAAATTCCCTTAGGCAAATTCATACAAGAAAGAAGATGCACAGGTACACTATTAAGCACAGTTTGGACTAAAAGGACTCTCCCCATGTTGGACAGCAACTTAGCATACCGACAATCAATCTTCTTCTTGAATTGCAGAATGATCCCTTCAAAATCCCTAAGCCTACTTCTCCCTTTGATCTTAGGACACCCCGGATAAGTAAAAGGTCACCCTTTTATTGGAATTCTAGCTACACCAGACAAAACAGCCTTTCTTCTCCAAGAAATTCTAGAGGAACAGAACAGAGAGCTCTTCAATTTACTAACTCTTTGACCAGAGCTTCCCTCATATTTGGACATAAAAACCATCAAATTCTCCATTGACTTCTTATTCCCTTTTAAGAACAACAAAGTATCATCTGCAAACAGCAGATGAGTAAGCAAGACAGTCCCTCCTCCGGCATGAAAGCCCTTCACTAAACCATCAGCAAAGATCTTTGTCAAACCCCTACTCAGGACTTCCTCAGCTAAAATGAAGAGGGAAGGAGAAATGGGGTCTCCTTGCCTCAATCCTCTAGAAGTAGGAAAGAAGCCATGTCTCTGCCCATTCAAACAAACTAAGAAATGCTGATTAGATAAACAATTTCCAATGATGGAACAAACAAATCAGAAAAACCAAGCATTTCAAAGTTTTAATCAAAAAATCCCACTCAATCCTATCGTATGCCTTCATCATATCAAGCCTCACAATGACATTAGCAGCCTATACTTTCCTATCCAATTCCCCCACCATAAATTGTGCCAAAGAAACACAATCACCTATACTTCTCCCCTTCACTAACTCATGATGTTCTATTGATATCAATCCAGGTAACAAAACAGATAACCTGTTGGCTAAGAGTTCAGAAAAAATCTTGTACACAAAATTGCAAAGACTTCTAGGTCTAAACTCTGTAAAAGATGTTGGATGAGGAATTTTAGGAATTACTGCCAGCAAAGCAACATTTACTGACCTTGGAACAAGACCTCCTCTCAGAAAAAAATTAACTGCCACCAACAGATCATCCTTAATCACATCCCAAGCAATATGAAAAAACTTGCCAGAAAAACCATCTGGCCCAGGTGCACTTTCCTCGGCCTTAGAAAAAACCACACCCTTTAATTCCTCCAATGATGAAGCCCTAGTCAAGAGCACATTATCCTCCTCTTTAATCAATTTTGGAATAGCACCAAACAACTCATCCTCCAACACA